ACTTAAGCTTGTCTTACAGCTGCATTCGATACGAAACGTGTAAAAGTAAACCCCCAAATCCTAGGCAACAATTTTCGCGAGCAAGACAATCACCACAATTTTGTTTGGCCAGGATTTAGAGTAAAGATTCTGGCTAGGTTGAATAGCGCGGCGTGAATCGGTACCTTGTGCAATTATGTGCCGCCTGGAATAACAATCCACAGGGGTGCCATTCAACGTCTTAAACCCAGGTGTGCAGCTGCGACTTCATTTCTTAACACCTCAGCGGGGAAGAATCCTCAATACCTGTGGACAATAAGACTATGAATGGAAGATCCTTCTCTACAATTTCCCTTTGATTACGCGATGCGCCCTGTGCGCCTTTTCGTTTCTTATGATTCGAAGATCACAGACTGTTTGTGTGGGTGTAGTGCAGGTGAGAAACAAACATGACAAGCGGGCCGGGTGAAACTTTATACGGCTGATGCTCACAGGTGAGCAGGGACAAAACCCGCAATGGTTACTAGAGGGGGGTGCACCTGTACGGACAATTACTCCATGTGTAAACAACGCGGTCCTGGGGAATTCAAAGTGTGCCTGAGGCAAGAAAAGAAGAGATTCCGTTTCGCCTGTAATTTTAAGAAATCCTCTTAGAAAAATAGCCACAAAGAGTAAAGTTTTTCCGGGTAAAACATGTACAAGAAATCGTTTGGGAGAGTAGCCATTTTAACTGCTGTGGCACTTTCCGGTGGACCGTGGACGATACAATGAGGAAACACTCACAATATACAAGCTTAGACACTGACAACGCTGAATGTAAAGGTCTTACCTTTAAACTGGTTCCACGTGAATGCTATTAAATCACTCCTACGTCGGCTCAAAAAAGGAAAACCTGCACAAAGGAGTAGTAGAATAGCGACCTGGATTTTCCCCGGAGCTACTAACGTACACAAAAACTTGATTTAACACCACCGTCAAGAGACAAAATTGAGGACTAATAAATACGGGATGTGGTAGATATCTCTGTCTTTGTTGTAGGTAGCTTTGGGAGGTGTTTAAGTAATTTGTTCGCTTCTTGTAGAAGCTTACCGGGAGATTTGATGCGTGTGAAAGAGCATTGTCAACTCTCAGGTCTCTCACAATTCCCGCTCACCTCGCCACGAAGTTTGTTTGCTTATAGTGTAAAAGAACGGGGGTGGAGTGGAACAAGTTGAAACACGCCTAATGGACAAACGATTAGGTTTAACAAGACTATAAACTTTTCACACATAGTTGGGAAACGACATGAAAAGACCAGCTATCAATAGAGAGTTATAGGCTTTGTCAAAACCTCCCCGGGTGTCGGCAAACAATTATCACATGCTTGAAAAGCAATTATCGGGTAATACTATTCAATATGTGAATAGCTATTGTCGTGAAAGGAAAATGTACACAATCAAGCCATATACATGATAGTTTGTTTTTCGTCTTGTTTGGGAAGTCCACGGTTGTCTATTGTTCTGTGTTTCAGACTAACTCGGAAGCCAGTAGACCACTCCAGACTTCAGCAGGGAAAACACAACCTTTGTCTCATAATACTACACGTGAGAAAGGTCACCCCAGTTTCTCCTCAAGTTCACAAGATCCAAGAAAGGACGACACAAGAGGAAGAAGATACAGGCGTCTTCACATCACCTTAAGAACGACTACTGGTGGTACATCACAGAACAGGTATGCATCTATTTACACATGCTGTATCTGCGACAAATAAACAAGTCAGCGAACACATGTTTAGTATATTTTCAAGCGTGCGACAGGAATGCATTTTGCGTTATTGTTACCAAGTCTCCTGTTTTTCCTTTCGGAATTCCAATAAATATGAAGAACAAATCTCTTAATGCCATCTCTGCCACATGCCTAATCCGTAATTTGTCCGACTGTACACTGTGATACAATTGTACGAGATTGTTCACACTGTGAGTGACTGTGGAGGGGATTTTGCCCTTGTCATAACTAGATGTTTGGGGGTTGTTGGGGTCAAGTTGTGCCGGGTTGACGTGTGATTACGGACTCAGGACGTTCCGCTGACGGGACGCCGGTGTACCACCTGGTCTGACTGTACCTGTCCCGTCAATAGACACGGCTCATCTCTGGGTAATTAGTCTCAACTGTAGGATAGAAAGGATTGTGAGGTTGTCACGAGAGGGTGTGTTGGGAGGAGTAGAGACACACAGCTGTACTGTAGCGCTACAGACACGTACACCGTGTTCCGAACAGCGCGTGTCTTCTATCTGTGACGGGCCGGTAGCCTGGCTGTCTATCCCGAAAGTCCAACCGTTCAGAAAGGTACTAGTAATTCTTCTGTACACTTATCACAACTGGTTATCGTAAGCACATTGTGTAATGGTCTTATCTAGTGTAATTTTTGTTGTGCGGACACTAACAGTCATCTTCGATTGCGAAGGGCTACCAGGCTTTGTTGTGTGTGTACGGTTTTCCTTTTTCAAGGGCGACCATGTCTGGTTCATTGCGACAGTCAAACCGTTAAGAAATATAACTTACGTGTACATTCATAGGCTACCTAACAATACTTTATACCACATAATCATAATGTAATAGCTTTATTTCGTAGGTTGTTTTCTGTGTGTGCACGATTGACCTTTTTCAAGGACGAACTTGTCCGGTGTTAGAATTTCTTGCCTCGCCAGCGTTAGTCTCTCTGTATTGCGACTGTCCAACAGTAACGAAAGGTAATTCTTATGTACATTAATCAGATTGGTACCACATTGAGTAATGGTTCTACCTGTATTTTGTAGTTGTTTTGTTTGTGTACGGTTTATGTTTCAAGGACGACCTTGTCTGGTCTTAAAATTTCATGGCCTCGCTGGGGACAGTCCGAGATTGCGACAGTCCAACCGTTCGAAGAATTTATCTATGCATTCTTAAGTTTCCTGGTGGTTATTGTATTTTTTTTCTGGGGGTGGGGGGAATTTACCTTTTTCAAGGACGAACTTGTCTGGTGTTATGATTTTGGATAACTTATATTTGTGGGTACGGATCTAACGGGAATATTTTACTCGCTGTTTGGGGGGCGAGCACTTTCGTTGTAGGTCATCGAACTATGTTGATTTTCAAGCAGGCTATAGCTATGACCACAGGACGTTCTATCTTGTAGAATGTCCTTGGTATGAAAGAATCAACCACCGACAAGGATCAAAGACAGTATTTTCCGTAACCAGACAGCTGACAAACTGTGCACGACTATCCCAAGAATGTGCCCACAGTTTGCGACAATCGTACGGCGTATATGTGACCGGGCCCTAAGTTGTAGCCACAGACGGACACAGATTGGAAACTATACTACTAGTATGTTCTTTAGAACACAGATCCCCGTGGAAGGGTGTCGAACGGTTGTGGTTTACGTTTTTCGTGTGGGTGTATGTATATGTAGTGACAACAGTGATAACTGCGTGGTTCATATGTTAACATTTTGTTGCCAGACTAACTACGCTGGCTACACGGAGAATATTTGCCACACCAGAAAGTTCATTTTTTCCTCGCAATTATAAGGGAAAATGTTACCCTTACAGTGACTCACTCCCCTGGCCAAATGCTGTGCCATAAGGGCAGCGTAAAATTCGTAAGAAAATTGTACATCTACCTTCTAGTATGTACTAACATTTAAGATGTTTTCAAGTTTTTCTGACACGAACTGAACGACCAATATGTCATGGAAAGGGAATTTTTTTGTAAACCTTCTTGTCTGTAGAGGAAATGGCCACCTGGTCCACACCTACAGACCCCACAATATCATCCTATATAATGACTGTGTTTATCTCCGAGGTCGTAGTGAAGGTGAACTGTGAGTCTGGTAGTGAAGACGTCATGTACATGAGATAATAACACTCTTCCAGCTGGTTTGGTTTTACGAGTATATTCTTTATTGACACAACAAAAAGTACAGGGACTTTTGTATGGTCTTCTACAACTAAAGATCTAACAAAGCTAAATGCATGTGTGGAAGACTTCATCCTACGTACAGAGTATATTTATGTGGCAAACGACGTACAGAATATATATAAGAGATAACAATAAAGGTTTAACAATTCTCTAACATGTAGTCTCTAAGATTGAAACATTCTTTAATGTATTTTCCTATTTGAGTACTGTATTGGTATCTCCCCTGAGAATGTAATTCAATTTTTCTATAGGATCTAATGTATTGAAATCAGTTGAAGAAGTGGAAAAAAAAGTGAACAGTAATTTATGTGTCATACAAGTAACGCAAATAGACAATCGACATTTCCGTTAGTGACAGAAAAATTGAAGTTGCAGAGAAAAAGAGGATTTCACTAATTGTATAACCACGTTATTTGCTGGGAATTTCTCGGTGTTTTTGTAATACCATGCATGTGTAAGGATATATGTCTGTGGATGTTCTATTGTGCGCCTATATGTTAACGTATTCACTAACCTGTATCTTGTCATACTTAGTACATTGTCTGACCCTGACTTCTTCCTTCATGCATTCGAATGAAAAGCGGCCAGCAGGCCGAGTTGAGTACTAGTATTCATAGTATGGACAAGCAAAGGCTCAAACAAACCAACAAGCAAGAAGAATATTTGAATAGTGTGTCACATTTTTGTCATTTTTGTGACGAATACAAGAAGAAGACCGTATTTTACCATTGTGTCTGTGTCTGTGTAGAAGAGTCTACACTGTGAATAACCCTTGTGTACATATGGTGAATTCTATACACTCAGAGTTTTGTGGTTAGTAAGATATTTTTCTTTCAACTTTAATTTACGTAAATGACACAAAATCGTGGATTTTCAAACGTCTGCCATCAATAGTACATCACCATGGTAACGGTATGACTTTGCAGATAAGTTCGCGCATGCGCTCTCGTTCACCGTGATGGCCTGTCAGGTCGAAACGTCTTCATACTTCATGCCCAAATAAGGTGCGCTTTGTCGGCATATTCAGGGCCGTATTTAATTCGTTATTTTCGGGTCACGACGCTCAAGTCTCGTCCACGACCTCTCAGAGTCCCCCCTAGTGCGACTCCTGGCCAGACTCTCTGTAAAAACTAGTTTTTCGTGGATTGGACACGGATCGGGGGTTACGGAAAAGACCGGCTATTGTGTGCTCTTGGCGGGGGTTGGCACCGACAGACAAAATGTCAAACATTTCCATCCAGGGAGACCCATACAAGTTCTCTACTAGCCCAGCGGGGGAGTCAGGCACGCCCTCCCCGTACCTGCCACCCGTCCCCGACGGTCACTCACTCGGCGCACGGTAACTGCCCGTAATGTCGGGGTTCGAACCCGCGCCCATTAATCTACCCTTCCAAATCCATGATTTGGCGAAGTTTACTCTTTAGTAGGCCGTGGTCGGAGCCCGGGTCTGTAATTTGGAGCCATTTGGTCGCCCCGGAGCGAGCCTGGAACAGGAACCACATTCGATTAAACAAAGGCAGCAAAGAAACTGAGATTGAATGTCAAACTATGCACACAAATAGGGGGCGGCGATCACGGTACTTACAAATCTATTAGCAGAAATGGGAGAAATGTCAGATTTCACAGAGTTCCCTTGTCACAGGAGTAGGTAGACTCTATCTACAAGGCATGTTTCTCTTTCTTTTTGCGTTCTTTAGGTATTTCGGAAAACTCGTACATATAGGAAACTAGTGTCACCAGTCTCTGCTCAGTTAGCCTCTTCCAGGCTTCAGAAGCGACTGGAAAGAGTAGAAATTGGCCAAATCAACAGATAACATGCCAGGGGAGTTGGTCCACTATTTATGTATTACTAGTATACAAGGAGTACATACAGTTTGCTGCCCTAAGCATATTCTCTCTCTATTTGACCGATTTCTACTCTTCCCGCCTCTTCTGAAACCTAGTAGACTTAGCTACAAACCATAGAAGTACATGTAGCTGGCATCCTTCCGTTGAAAATATAGCAATATGCCAAATAGGGTGAATATTTCCCCTAGTATTTTGCCGTCTAGAGAAGCCCAAAAATATAGACGCCAAACTTCTCAGTAATGTATAAGGCCACAGCAAGTAAATTCTATGGATGACATCCTCAGCAGACTCCAAATCTAATGCCAGCGGGCAAAAAAAAAAACAAGGCAGGCCGAATTTAGAATTTTGACTCAATCATTGTACAGATAGTTTTGATTCAGTGGGAACATCACATATCACCGCATCAAAGTAAGAAACAAAACATTAAATCAGAAATGTCTTGTCTCCTCTCTTCATAGTTATCTGCCATCCACCTTCCGGCATGGCAACGGACATCTTTGCCTATTTTTGGCATGGTGACCACTGTCAGAAGGCAACAAAATTTCTTTTTTTTTTCCCCAAAATCAGGCGAAAATCAATGCACGCGCTGATGTCGTCCATAAAAATTACTTGCTGTGGCCTAAAGAAGAAATCCAAGATTATTTGATAGTCATTTTTATAGATAGACATTTTTACTCTTTATTTCCTGTGTGTTACCTTGCAATTAGCCTTAACTTCGGGCATAAGTATACAAATAAAATTGCTGCATCACATACTGAAAAGGAAATACATGTACATAAATAAACATGATGCAGTAATACATGTTGAGATCTACATACTCCCAAACATGACCCGTTTAAAGAGATTAGAACTCGCGTCATCAGAAATCTCTTTATCACCGACACCGTGGCCTTTGTCCGTAAAAATGGCCGTGTAGGCTGGAC